ACTTAGGTTTGGACTGTAATTATCCATATGCTCATACCCTTTCATATGGCTACTCTTGGCTTGTGGAGGGGTTTGGAAGCAGCAAAGACCTACAGCATCTTCCTTGCAAGCACCTGTGAGATCCTTTGGCAGCAGAGACCCAGAGCTCTAGCATCCACACAAAAGCTGAACATAGGGCATCAGAGTTTCTTCTTTATTTATAAAGGACTTCCTAAGTGAGTTATGTTTTCCCAACTTGAGAAATCGACTTCTGAATTGGTTTAAATATTCCACACTTTTTGGAAGCACAAACAGTATGTCAGTACCAAGTGCTTTACTTAAAATCGAAGTTTCATAAACATTGGCATAACTGATATTTTACAGTAAGAATTTTTTTCCTAGCTAAAATAAACTTATAAATAAGACATATTTAAATAATTTATAGATGATAACCTAAGTTTTAAAGTAAGAAAATATTATTGCAACTTTAAAGACTGAATTAAACCAAGGGATAATCTCTTTGCTTTACAAGAAACACCATTGTAGATTTCTCCTTTTACATGATGCTGTTACCTAAAGACCATCCACAAGCTCCTCTCCTTGGCCCCTGACTCATCAAACTCATACTCTAGTGGGACCAGAACTTTCTGCCCCAGGTCTTTTTTTTTTTTTTTTTTTTTTCCAATAGAATGCGTGAAAACAAGGAGCTACAAATATAGGTGTTCAAATATCAGACCTAGGCTAGGAGTCTACATATTGAAGGGCCCAGAAAGAACAGGAATATTCATGTTGTAAATCTTGACACAAAGAATGCCCTGGTCTGCTCCAACTGAACAATGCACTGAAAGAGTAGAGAGGGTGGTTTAGAACAGCTGTGCTACTAACGGGGTGAGCGTGGTATGTGCAATAGTTTCATGTGCCACCATCTCACAGACAAGAGAGGAGGGTTCCCACTCTTCCCAATCCTCACTCTTCAAGGGTAACGGGTGACCTGAGACCAGTGATCTGGTTCCTGCTGACTCTTAAAGGCCACTATGTCAACACCGGTTAGGATGACAACCATTAAGCCAGTGAAATCATATTCCTTAACCCCAGACAGAAAAAGAAAATTCAACATGAACTTAAAGCATTATTTTTATTTAGACTTGTATCCATCTTCATAAAATATTTTCTTCTAACTGTGGAAAAATCCAGCAGGAGAACTGACCAGCAGCAGGTTAAACTGAAATATTATCATGTGCTGAAGGCCTTTCCTCACTCTGTTTGAAGGTTGCCTTTCAATAAAAAGCTAACAGAAAGAACTCTTTCTCCAACCAGTCAGAAAGAGTCATACTTTACTAAAGAAGCTGGAAAAACCTCCAGTTCCATACTGTCATTCATAAAAAATGACTTCCATATAGGCATCATCGTATTGCACATGGAGAGTTTTTTTGTAAAATGATATGCAGGACGTTAGTCAGACTTAGAAATAGGAAAGCCAGACGTACACTACGGAACTAAAGTCGAAACGCTTCTCTGGGGGGGAAAATATTATTTCCTAAGATAATTATGTCTCCTTGTCACTCAAGTTCCTTCATATGTCAAACATTTTTTATGGTACAGAAAACATTTTTTTCTCCATTTTTTTTCTGGAGTGTCAACAGAATATAAATTGTGATTTTTTTAAATTAAAAAAGTCACTAAGTGAGATGACAAACAAGACTTATGAAACTAAAACGGATTAACTTAGTTCTTAGAGTTCCATTAAGATATTTCTAAAGTACTTCAAAAATTATACCTTAAATCTTCTAAATCATATCCTAATAACCATTTTAAGCAAGCACATTGATTGATAATATGACAAGTATTACTGAAAGCCCCTCACACAGGGGGTGTATTTCATTAGTCAGAATGTCTTATTAAGTCAAGGAGTGAACTAACCAAATTATACCAAGAGATAGCTGGCAAAAGTTAAGATGTAGAAGAAAATAAGACCAAAAGTCAACAATTAGAGTTCAGGCATCATACTTCAAGCTAACCAAGAGACTATTAAGCTCCTTGAAATTACTTTTGTTATAGACCTTGAAAAGCTAAAAACATGTAACTTAAATATATTAAAATATTCATGTCCCCACCACTATCCATTGCTGGTTGGAGTGTGAAATCAGGCATTACCACATCACTTCTCCCTGATGAGATAATTCTGGTGTTCTTAGGAGCATTATGCCACTACACTTTTTTTCTGCCAGAAAATAATTTTACTTTTTATTTTGAAGAAAACATATTTGCAATAACCAGTCCCAGGTTTGTTGAATTTCAAAAATATAAAATAAAAGATTGGCCTGGGAGTGGTGGCTCATGCCTGTAATCCCAGTGCTTTGGGTGGCCGAGGCAGGTGGGTCATCTGAGGTCAGGAGTTTGAGACCAGCCTGGCCAACATGAGAAAACCCCATTTCTATTAAAAGTACAAAAATTAGCCAGGCATGGTGGCATGTATCTGTAATCTCAGCTACTTGGGATGCTGAGGCTGAATTGAACCTTGAACCTGGGAGGCACAGGCTGCAGTGAGCTGGGATGGCGCCACTGCACTCCAACCTGGAAGACAGAGCAAGACCCTGTCTCAAAAATAAAATAAAATAAAAGATTGAAATGAGTAAAAAACCAATTTATTTTTTAAAATATTGTGCAAATCTAGGGCAAGTAAACAATTTCCAAAGACAGAGTAAATGAATCTTTCATTTATACTTTTGTTAAAATCCTAACGTAAAATCAACTTTTGTAAGACTACAAGCTTAAACATTTTTCCATGATTGTTTTATATATTTGGTTGAATTACACCTTCATTCTCTTTTCTATTTTACCTCTAGTAAGGAATAGTCCTCATGCCAAAAATAGAATCTGATATTTCAGTAACTTCATAGACTGCTGGTTTTTCTTTTTCTTTTGAAATTTAGGTTTACAGAAAAAATGCATCTCCTATACCCTAAAAACCTAGAGCTTTTAATATATTTGTTTGAGTAGTATTTCAGTCTCTATAAAATCAGTGTAAATAATATCAATAAAGAAAAATCTGGTTATACTACATTGAAACTGAGTTTGGAAGTTTTTTGGTCTATATTATAACAAGCTATGACTGCCTAACATCTCACTTTTCACCACCTGATATTGGCACTGTATAACCAAGTCTTGGCACTGTTTTTTTTTGTTTTGTTTTTTCCTTTGAGACAGAGTTTCACTCTTGTTGCCCAGGCTGGAATGCAATGGCGTGATCTCGGCTCACCACAACCTCTGCCTCCCGGGTTCAAATGATTCTCCTGCCTCAGCCTCCCGAGTAGCAGGGATTACAGGTATGCACCACCACATCCAGCTAATTTTATATTTTTAATAGAGATGGGGGTGTCTCCATGTTGGTCAGGGTGGTCTCGAACTCCCAATCTCAGGGGATCCAATCACCTCGGCCTCACAAAGCGCTGGGATTATAGGCGTGAGCCACCGCGCCCAGCCAAGTTTTGGCATTTCTAAGAAGGTACAGAGTTTTAAAACAATAGGAAATTACTGCAAATTTCTTCTTGATGTTTGCTATTAACACCTATTAACATCAATAAACGTAACAAGGTTGTACCTAGGACAAAAATATCAGTCTACTCTATCTTTAGAAACAAATAGAAAAGTAGGAAAGGCATTTTTTAACATAGTAGTAAAATGTGGAATTTTTTGTGCTGCTGTCTCATAAAGTGAAATACAATTATCAATCAGAAACAGCTTTTGAAAATAAGTATGATAATTATGCATTTCTAAAGGCGATTCTAAACTTGTCACTCAATGGGAATATTTCTACCTTAAAAAAGCAGTAATGTCTTACATGTAATTTCTTCTTGAGTAAAACACTTTAAATTGCAAAAAAATTTTGTATTTTACCCTTAAGTGTAAAATAAATTTTTCACTAAGGAATAGAAAAAATAAAGCATATTTAATAACTTTATTGCACTGGAAGTTGCCAATTCGTCTTTGAGTAGTTTCACTGCAGATGAAAAGAAATCAAAATACAGGACAGATGTTGAACAAACCGCATTTAAGTTCTGTCACACACTGGCATTTTTCAAGTGATTTTGGCTCATCTATTAAATAAGGTGCATTTTGCTTGATTTTGAAAAGGGAAACATCAGGAAATATTTAAAGGCCAATTGCTGCCAATTAACTTTGATCAGTAAAAGTTCTATTTGAATCTTTCAGATTCTTCTCCTGTCTGAAATAACATACATTTATAAATCTAACAAAACAACTACTTGATGATTAATGCCTGTTGGCAGCCCTACCACAAGCTTGCTTAACAGCGGGATTTAAATAAACAACTGTCTCTATTAAGAAGAGAACGAAATGTAGTTATAGTCATGTTTTCTCATAATGGAGATATGAAAAACAATATTCTCTATTCTTAAGAATGCTGCTCACCAAGACCATTGTGTTTGTCAGTGCCCGTAACAGTTTAGCTAGCCATCTTATAAGAGTCTGCCCTGAAATCATAATGGACCAATAAAATTAACAGCAGTGTGACACAAGCAATCCTGGCAACCCAAACAGCAAGGGCCAGACTAAAACATTTTCCTACCAATTGGATCAGCCAGAAAGTAAAGCATCAGACCTAATACAATAAGAGTTTGACATAACATATGCGAGTGTTATGAATTCTGTTGGACATATCTTAGTGGTGATTATGTAACTGAGAAATACGTAGCTTCTGATAATCAACAAAGTTTAAGATTCTTGATATCAAATTTTAATCTTTACTACTGGTCATGTAGGATCTAACTCTGAAAATCAACAGCCAAAGTAAAGCAAAACAGAAATCCCATGAAGGCATTTCATGAAGAATTTCATGAAGGGATTTCATTGAAGAAATCCCAAAACACATTGCCATATAACCAACAAACCTCTGTCTCACTATTCCAATTTTATATTTAAAAAATAATATCCCATCATTATTTTAAAACCAATCACCTATTTTCAGACATGCAAAAATATGTATTAAAATTTGAACTTACTTCTAAGTCATTAAAAAATAAATGTGTGTCTGCCAAGTTGAAAATCATTTCTTCCATTCGCAGTCCAAGGGAAACTGAAGTGGGTGGATCCTAAGAGAAGAATATGACAGGTCAAGAACATGTATACTTCAGGTTACATGAAATAGAGTGTCTCATTAAGAGGAAGCAGGCACTGGGGGAGAGGCTGAAAGCAAGAGACACAGAGAGAGACTTGGGCAATAGCTGCTTATTTTAGTGTGCATGACTTATTCTGTGGGCAAACTTCAGGGACTTATTTTACAAAAAGAGCCCCAAATGTTGTTGGTGCTTTATATACCAAAGAAAAAACTCATTTACCTTTTAAAAATATAAAATCTAGGGTTACTTAGACATACAAAATAAAGGAAATTCAACTTTATATGTCTATTTCAGGAGCAAAAAGTTCAGTGAATCAAGAAACCACTGCTTATGTTATGCCACCATCCATTAAGAGCATCTAAGTGCCCTGTCACAAATATCAGAAAATAGATACACTATAGCAAGCTTGCCCAACCTGCAGCCTGCATGTGGCCCAGTATGGCTTTGAATGCAGCCTAACACAAATTCATAAACTTTTCTTAAAACACTATGTTTTAAGTGATGATTTTTTCTTTTCTTTTCAGCTCATCAGCTATCATTAGTTTTAGTGTATTTTATGTGTTGCCTCAAACAATTCTTCTTCTTCCAGTGTGGCTTCCAGGGAAGCCAAAAGATTGGACAGCCCTGCACTATAGGTTAATTTCAGAAGGATAATAGATAGTAATTTTACTCCAGATAACTGTGTCATTATTTGTATTTATTCAACCTGTCAATTTTAAGTTATACTCAAAGCAGGAAGTGATGGCCACTCTGACCCCACGAGGCACTGTCCAGCTCAGGGAGCTGATCTTAAGATTCACATGACACTGTCCGGGCATCAAACAGCCCGTGCCATACTCAGAGGGCAGTGTTACATTCCACAGCGCACAGTGGCTTCTATCTAAAACTTCAAGTGTTGGACACTAGCAGCGAGTAGTCAGCCTCTCCCTACAAGCCAGATCCTGATGGTATCTACTGGCATTGAGATGAACTTGGGGGATATGCAGGTATTTGGAGTTTTTATCCTGTATTTACTGTCTATCAAATCCAAGAAGCAACATGATTCATGGCTGAAGATCCTGTATACTAAGTGATGAAAGATAACATTTCCAGGAAGTATACAAGGCTATAAAATGAGATTTTGAAGGTTTTATTGGCATTCTATTAATAATACCAACTTTCGTATGTATGCCATTTTCAATTTTTCCAAAGAACAATAATTTATGATACACTATTTTATTGTCACAGCAAACCTTTGGAATAAGTATGGAATCTCCTTGCATCATCATGTAACCAGGGGGATTGTAAGTAGAGAAACTGCCTTCAGGCAAGCCCCACTGGGCAGATGTGCCAGTGTCATGACATGTGTGTCATGTGCCTTTGAGTCTTAGACTCAAGAACATACAATCCAAAGAAAAGACTCTTATGATTCAATACTGCCCAATGTCAACTTTGTACACTATCTACCTTGTTTTCTGAACACACTGACTTCATTTCCAATATTGAGACGTGCCTGTGTGTTACCCCTACTCTTTAACATCTGTCATGCCTATGAGTTTGGGAAGTGGCAAGAAGTGGTGGGAGAGGAGGCCTAGACTCCTGCCTTTGCTTTCCCACTTAGGTGTCATCCTCTCATCGAGCCTGGTTTGTTCACCTAATAAATCCAAGAGCAAGATGGCAAACACAATATTCTCACATAGACTAATAAAAAACATCTAGTCTTTCATTTGCCGGAATTGTACATGTTTGTACACTTAGGAGAGAGCAGGAGCTGGAAAGGGTGGGGGATGGGAGCGGAGCCTCACTGGGCACCTGCCAGGGGCCTATCTGCTGTAGCCTGGAGGTCAACCCAACCCAATCTGGCTATTCCTCCAGCACCGCCCACCCCTAGCACTGTCCACACCCCTCCAGCACCTCCCACACTCCTCCAGCACTTCCCACCCTCTTGGCACCGCCCATACCCTTCTAGAACCTGCCACATCCCTCCAGTACTTTCTACGCTCTTGGCACTGCCCACATCCCTTCAGCACCTCCCACATCTCTCCGGTACTTCCCACTGTCTTGGTACCACCTGCATCCCTCCAGCACCTCCCACATCCCTCCAGCACCTCCCACATTCCTCCAGCACCTCCCACTCTCTTGGCACAGCCCACATCCCTTTAGCACCTCTCACCCCCTTAGCACTACTCACACCCATCCAGCACTATCCACATCCCTAGAGTACCTCCCATCCCCTTAAGCACTGCCCCCACCTCTCCAGCATGGCCCAAGTTCTACCTTCCAGCAGCCCTAGAGGAGGAACAGAGTACGTGAAACACGGCAGGATGGTGTAATTCACTCACCTCAGTTCCTCTCCTGCCTGTGCCTTTTCTGCCAGCTGACTGACAGTGGAAGGGAGACAAAGGACACAGTATTGCCAAACTTCAGGGGTTAGATCGGCAAAGGAGAAAAGCAAACACCTCAGGGCTGATAAGAAGGCAGAGAGGAAATAAAGACGCAGAGGCTGAGTGTCCAAGAGTTCTGCTGGGAGGGACAAAGGAAAACGATTCCCTCAAATTTTGTGTGTGATGATTCAGACTCCTCAGCGTTCTTAAATTGTCCCTTTTTAATACACCTGAAATCTATGAAATTTCATAGGTTTTAGAAGAATTGAATACAGTTTACAAATTACTGTAAAGAAAAACTTAACTCATTTGCTCTTGGATTTATGAGAAATTGTTCACTCACAAGGAGTTTAAGTATCAGTAGGCATGCTGGGAAAAGCAAATGCTCAAATAGACCCTACAGCGGAATTAACCTGTAGGGGAAGCTCAAACAGATGTGTCTAAAACAAAACACCTGACTAAGGTGTTTATTCCCTCTAGCTCAGGCCAATAAAAATACCCTGACTTGTCTCATAACCATGTCAATGAATCTTTTTATGTGGCAAGGATGGAGTCTGACCACATTTATTTAATTGCCAATTCTAAAATATATGTGCCATAGTATTGTTACTTTTGAAAAAGTATTCTTTCTCCTTGATATGGTTGCTTATTTATATGACCATTGAAAGAATTACTCTATTGTTCGTTAATATATAGCATACTTTAACTTTTCTTCATAAATTACAGTAATGACTTGCTAGTCAGAATACTAATAAATTTTAAAGGCTTGTTCAGTCTAGTGGTAAAATACAACACAGATGTTGGTCTTATTTACCTCTTAATGTTATTCTCTTTTGTTATTAGCTGTCATTTCTCAACAGTTTTTATACCTGCCACTCCAAGAATTGTTTTGAAACATTTACTACACCAAGAGAACAGTCTGGCAGCTAAGTGGAATAAGAAAATTTTAGAATAGGAACGGGGTTCTAGTTGAGAGCTGTGTTTTTCAGACATCTTTGAACCACAATGCACAGTATAAAACAAAATTAACATTGGGATCTAAGAATCTCTCTTATGTGCACGCACACACAGCTGAAATATGTTTGCCAAAGCAAGATATTGTTCACTGTGTGGATATACTGTGACACTGTCCATTTCACAGCCCTGTCCCAATCTACAGTTTGAAAGGCAGACCTTTAGAAAACACCTACTCTTTGACTTTAGAAACAGGCGCACTGAGTTCCTAGAGGGTTGTGATTTGTGCGTGATGATCCAGCAAGCAGAGTGCAAAGCCATCTCAGCCTAAGTGTTTTACCCAAGAGGAAACTAGCAGAAGGACAGATAGATAATTCTGCTCATGGAATTGCTTACATATTCTAGCAACTGGAGTTCTCACATCGAGGTTAGATTTTATTTTCCTATGATAATAGCTAATATGTTAACACTGTTAAAATTTCTAAACACGTCTCATACAAGTACAAGTCAAATGTGAAAAAAGCTAACGCTGAACAGTTAATAAATAACTCGTGGCTTGATGGCTTATTTTGGCATATTAAGAACAAGGAAAAAAACACGTTCTTAAACCAAAACTGAGATGTTAAAATCCCCAGGTCTTTGGTTTAATCTTACTATTTTTATAATACATAATTTTCTTGCAATAACAAATTCCAGAGCTGCAGTTCTTAAAGGGCTTCTTCCAAAGCACCATTTTTTGTTATATCACTTTCAAAAAATTATTTAGAGCTTAGCCTCCACTTCAAAGTAACATCTCATTTTAAATCAATCTCATTGCCAAATGTTCTCATTCTTTTCAAAGCATGGCCCTTCTGTGGCATGTGCCACTGCTGTTTACTGTCTTCTTGACATTTCTCCTCTATGACAGCAATCTTTTATGGGCATTTTCCTAGAATCTATGTATACATCATCTGCTTGTTAAATGTCTGTATCAGTCCATTCATGCTGCTAATAAAGACATACCCAAGATTGGGTCATTTATAAAGAAAGGAGGTTTAAGTAACTCACAGTTCAGCATGGCTGGGGAGGCCTCAGGAAACCTACAATCATGGCAGAAGGGGAAGCAAACACATCCTTCTTTAAATGGTGGCAGCAAGGAGAAGTGCAGAGTAAATGCAGGGAAAAGCCCCTTACAACACCATTAGATCTTGTGAGAACTCACTGTCATGAGAACAGCATGGAGGTAATCATCCCCATGATTCAATTATCTCCCACTGGGTCCCTCCCATGACACATGGGAATTATGGGAGCTACAATTCAAAATTAGATTTGGGTGGGGACACAGCCAAACCATATCAATGACGTTAGTTCCTAGAACTTTATTCTTATCCTTCCATCTCTCATTCTATTCAGATCACCTTGTGGACTCAAGCACACTGATGGCTTCAACCACCACCCACTCCTCTCTGTCAGATCTTAGATCTCAACTGGAGGCTCATATATCAATTACTTATTGGTCATTTCTACTTAGATGTCCCATAAAGCACCTGAAACTCAATGTGTGGCAAGTTGGATTCATCACACTTCCTCTGGAAACCTACTGTATTCATTCTTTAGCGGAATGGCATACCAACCCAGACCTTGGCATTTTCCTAGTCACCTCTTTTTAGCTCCACA